CCCAGCTACAGTCTCTCTCCCTGCCCGGCACTCCCTCCACGGAGGCCCAGACTGGAGTCGTTTTTCCCAAGGCTCTGACTGTAGGAGAAGCCATCTGGACTGGTTTCTTGTGACTGACTCCAAGGAACTGAAATCCGTCCAGAAGAAAATTGCAACAGTGAAAAGCAACTGTGAGGCTCACTCTCTGTGAAGGCAGGAGGGGAGCTCAGCACGACCCTGGGAAGGCGGGTCCCAGACACAGCGTCCTGAGCAGGAGACAGAGCCTCGAAGTTGCAGTGCTATGTGGATGGGATGGAAAGGAAGGGAGCTGGTGGAGAGGACCGGGCTTGTGCAGTGTCCGCTGGAGCCCTGGAGTCCACTGGCTGCAGGGTGGCCCTCTGGATCCACCTGCCAATGCCCCACCTCCCCCGCAGAAGCAGCTGGCTTCTTTGACCACTCCCCGCAAGACAGCACCTTGGCCTTGGCCTTGGCTTCAGCTCCTCCCCTGCATCCGGCTCACCTCTGGCCTCTGAGCTCATTCTTGGGATGCTGGGGCCCAAAGGAGCTGCAGAGCCAGTGTGATACAGACATGCACCGGACCAGGACCCCTGCACCCTACTTCCTCTTTCCTCATGTGCACCCACACTGCCGTCTTTCTCAGGAAACTCCAGAGCTGGGCTTTTCTGTTAACAACCATATTAACCTAAGTGAGATGGAACCTCATTATAGTTTTGATTTGCATTTCCTGGGTGGCTAGTGATTTTGAGCATTTTTAAATGTTAATCCAAAGGAAAATAAAACAATTATTTAAAGAAAAAAGAAAATCCCAGAGTAGTTCACTAGGAAAAGGGATAAAAGAGTTATCAGACTCTAAGTGTCATCATCCAAGTTTCATTTTCTTCTCTTCCCTTTTGGCTTTTTTAAATTGGGAAAGTAACGGGGGAGAAAATAATTGACTTAGTTTCCAGATCGCTTATTAAATTGTACACAACTCTGCACAATGAGTCATTGCTCTCCCCGTGTTTGCAGCAAAAGCTAACAAACAGTCCATGCTCTGTCGGAAGGAAGCTCGAGTCACGCTTGGACCAAGGTTAGGGTCCAAACCTAGAAAAACAGGCTAAAAGAAAGAATAAAAATGCAACAGCTGGGAATATAGCTGAGTGCAAAGGCCCTGGGTTGAATTTCTAGTCAGAAATATTAATTAATACATTAAAAGAAAAAAAGCACAAAAAATATAACCCCCTCAACCAGCAAAGTTTTATTCTTTTCTCCAGGAAGCCTTGTGGATAAAGAAGGATGGATAAACCAGCAGGTACAGTGGCCCCTTCTTATCAGAAGTTGTGCTTTTTTTGGCTTTGGTTATATGAGGTCAACCTCTGTCCATAAATATTAAGTGTGAAATTCCAGACATGAATAGTTCACAGGTTTTAAATTACTCATGATTCTGACAGGCGTGATGCGATCTCAAGCCCCCCCCCCACCGCTGTGTCATAGTCAGGTGCGAAGTATCCTTTGTCCAGTGTATCCATGGTGTGGACACTACCTGTCCGTTCATCACTTAGTAGCCTTCTCAGTCCTCAGGTTGCCTCTGTGGTGCCACAGTGCTTGTGTTCAGGTAACCCTTGTTTTATTCCATAGTGGTACCAGAGCTCAAGAATTTGTTATAATTGTCCTGTTTATTATTGTTACTCTCTCACTGTGCCTAATTTATGAATCAGACTTCATAATAGGTATATATGTATAGTAAAAGTGTAGAATTTAAGATTTGCTACTGTCATTGTGGCATCCACTCACTGGGGGTCTTGGATTGTGTCCCCCACAGAAGAGGGGATGACTGTCTGGAACGTCTACCTGGGTACCGCAGGTTCTCTATCAAGGCCCCCCGACTTCCCTCACTCAGTCCTCACAAACCCTAGGGACCCTGGGAAGTTGTTGGCCTCTGCTGCAGATGAAGCCACCAAGGCACAAAAGGTCACACAAACTGCTCCGCATCTGACAGGCAGCAAAGGTCCGCGCTCTTTCTCCGCACCTTGCTCTGTGGGCTCCGCGTTCTGAGGAGTGGCCCCAGCGGCACAGCCTCCCCACCCGGTGCCTCTTGTCTGCGCCCGGCCCTCACGCCCCAGGCAGTGCCCTGAATGGGCCCCGGCCCTGCCTCACGGTGTCCGCTGCAGGCTCCAGACCGCCGCCACGGGCCAGCAGCACTCGGGTGAGAGGGAGCCGGGAGCTCTGTGAGCCTGCAATGGGACGCCCCCGACAGCCCTTCCCCCTGCTGAGTGATCCCCGCAAATGGCCGCTGCGGCCTCTCTGCGCGCGTGCGTGGTCTATTCTGGGAGTGTGGAGCTCGCCGTCCAAGAACATGAAGTAACTGTTCTGCACAGATGGAGAAGCAGACTACTGTGGGTGCTGCAGGGGCCGGGCTGGGGCTGGACAGAGAAGGGCTTTATTTCCAGTTTACAGCCCGTCTGGTTGCCAGGGTGAGCTGAGAGCTTGTGTCAGGGAGGCGTCCCTCCTCCCCTTCCCTCCCTCGCCAGCACTCTGCCCTGTGCCCCTGCCACCCCGTGGGCTCAGGGGCCTCATCCTCAGAGAGCCCTCGCTCTCTCATTTTGCCCCAGGAACAGTGACAGTCTGAATAGTACTTTTGGTAATCGTTCATTTTGTCACTTAGGAAGAAAAACGAGAAGGAACTGGGAAAGGATCCCTTTTATTTTTGTTTTGTTTCAAAACGTTTGTCGCTCAGCTCTTTAAAATGTAGATGAAAATTGCTATTGGTGCTTCAGTGTACGTATTTATGGGACCCAGCATGGGGTTGCACTGTAATCAGAGCGGGACACCAAGCACATCCGTTACCTCAGACATTTGTCATTCAGAACCTTCACTGAGCAGTGTTAAAACAGTCACTTCAGTATTGTGGACCGTAATCGCCCTGCTGTGCAACCAGACCCCAGAAATGCTTCCTCGTGTTGGACTGTAACTCAGTGCTGGTGTCCAGTTCCACCTCCCTCCTATCATCCGCCTCTGGCCACCATTCCTCCTGTACGATCAGCTTCTTAGATTCCATATATAACTTAGAACCTGTGATATCTACTTCTCAGTGCCTGGCTTGTTTAATTTAACATATGTCCTCCACATTCATCCATGTTGAACAATGACAGAATTTATCTTTTTCAAGGCAGAATATTATTCCCAGGCTGTGCATGTGTGTGTGTGTGTGTGTGTGTGTGTGTGTGTGTGTGTGTGTGTTTGAATCAATACATCCAATTGTCATTTATCCACCGGTGGGCACTCAGGCGACTCTTATGTCTTGGCTGTTGTGAGCAGTGAATGTGGGAATGCAGGTGTCTCTTTGACTCACTGATACCATTTCCTTGGACATATGCCCAGGAGTGAGATTGCTGGGCCCTGTGTAAGCAGTTACAACTTTGATGGTCCTTTCTGATGCGGACTGGACTGTTCTCAGCACCCGTGTGTCCTGTCTTTGTTCTAAAGTTCTAGTTTGGGAGGGGGGCCCACCCCAGGGACCCTCCTGCTGGCTCACTCTGCTGTCCCGCTGCGCACGCGGGTGGCCTCCATCACCCTGCTGCCAGTCTGTGCTTGAGCATGGGGATCGGGCAAGATGGTGGATGGGGAAGGCACCATGGAGCAGGGAACAGAATCCAAAAGCAAGTAAGTGCCAGGAAAAGCACAGTCACGCCTGTTTCCTGAGCCAGACCTCCTCACAGGGAAGCAGAGGAAGAGGCTCCCGGCACAGTGCTCCCAGGGTTTGGGCAGACAGGGTGGACAGGTGTGGCCGTCACTGGCCAGCATTCTCCTTGCAGAAGGGAGGCCCCTTCATAAGCAAGATGACCCATTTCTCCTGTGGCTGCTGCAGTGTCTGGCACTGTACTGGGCACACAGCACCGTGTCAGTGCCTGACAAACACCTGAGGGGACTCAGGTCTCAGGTGCCACTTTCCCCCCTCCACCAGCCTCGACAGCGAGAGGGAAGGTGGGAGGGGCTGCAGAGAGCACCATGGCCAGGTACCGGGAGCCCAAGAACAATGGCGACAGTCAGGTCTTCCCACACCTGAAGCTACTTGTTCAATGCCGTGGCGTGACCTGCCCATGACCATGTGGCCTGTCCCTGGCCAGCTCAGATGGGGATGATGTCCCCGAGGGAACCACCTGGGATCTGCTTGATCTGCCCCATCTCTGAAAGAAGAAAGGAAGAGATGCCATAAATACTATAGGCAGGAGGCCGGAAAAGAGAAATTCCTGTGGCTCTGAAGTTGAACAAGTCTCTTGTGACACAGAAGAATATTAAGCACCCAGAGGGGTCGTATCGGATCCTCAACCACTTGGCCGTAAGAGGAAGCTTGGAGTGGGGCCAGGCTTGCTGGCCAGCTCTGGTGCTCCGGTCTCTCTGATTAGATCAACAGGCATGTGCTTAGTGACTGCCCTATGGGCAGTGGGCCCTGCTGCTGTCTCCGCACTTCTCAGAATGACCCAGCTCTTCCTGGGATCTGGGTCACCTCTGGAAAGCGGAGGCTGACATCATGCATGTGACACGCATGGTCCTTGTGGCATGATCACCCATGTGCTTCCCATGACCTGCAGGGTGCCAGGAGTGTGCCTTATGAACAGGGTATTTTCTGTGCCCTGGGTGAGATGGAGGCAGGTTGGCACTGGGGCCTATCCTGTCCTCCCATCATTGTCACCTGGGAGCCTGCCATGCCTCCTGGCTGCTGAGTGAAGCTCTCTAGGGCTTGGCCAGGAAAATGGGTCTGTTGAAAGTGTCCTTCCCAGGGAACATGGAGGCACCGGGCCCAGCAGGGTACAGCAGTTGTGATCATTGGAGCTAATGTTACCCTCATGGTCGTCACTGTCCCTGAGGCATCGCAGGGCTACCTCCATAGTGGTGTGGGGGGCCGGCTCCCAGCTCAGTGCTCCGTGCAGTCGGTGGATGGTCTGGCCCCGGCAGCCTTCCCAGATCCCACAGTGCAGGCACGTCTGTCACTTACCCCCTGCCTTCTGTCCCCTCTCCAGGACACACAGGACCAGCCACTGTTACCGCATCACCTACCGCCACATGGAGCGGACGCTCTCCCAGAGGGAGGTCGGACACATCCACCAGGACATCCAGGCCGCAGTGGTGCAGCAGCTGGGAGTGGAGGGCCGCTTTTGACGTCACCATGCAGCCCCGGGGCTGCAGAAAGAAGAAAAGATGCTCTTCGTGAGCTGCAGCGTCAGGCGTCTTCTGCTCAATGGGGACTTGAGAAGATAAGGGTCACTCCCGAGGGAGTGTCTACATGCATTCGCCTTTGATTTGGGGACAGGGAAGAGAACAGGACAAGTGCTCCCTTTCTTCCCTTCTAGACACGCTTTACCCTTAGCTCTTAGCGTGGTTAATTGGTCCCTGGGATCCATTAAGCACCAGCATGATTTTGTGCCTGACAGGTTCTTCCCCTCGGGTAAGGACACAGCTCATGGTGGCCAAGGTGCTCGCTGTTTCATGATTCCCGGGTGCTGTGTTTACAGAGATGCAGGGTTCATGGCAGCCCTGGCAGAGCAGGTCTACCAGCACCCTTTCCTCAGCAGCTCAGATGATCATTAGCATCTTTTGGCAATAAAGTGTTTTTTAACTGCGGCGTGTAGGTGATTTTTTAGATATGATGCTGTTGCGTACTTAACAGACTACAGTGTAGCATGAAAACATAAGCTCAGAAACCACAGTATTCACGTGGCTTGCTTCGTGGTGGCATTCACTGTACCACAGTGGCCTGGAACCCAACTAGTGGTACCTCCAAGATGTGCCTGTGCAGGGAGCCTTTGGAACCAGCTCCGTGTCTTCTGCCCTTTTCTTCTTTGTTCTGCAAAGAGCAGGCTTCAAAGAGGACACCAGGGCTTCCCTTGAATGTGAAGGGAGCCACACCCCTGAGCAAGGCTGTACATGTATTAGCTGTACATAAACTGTGGCCGAGAGTCAAGTTCAGGCCACAGAACTTGGCCCGGCTGCTTCTGGCCTGCTGCAGAGGAAAGAAAGGCGTGAGGCCTGCCCAGGTCTGAGAGGGTGCAGATGGCCAGGTCCTCCCCGTCCTCCCATTTCTGTTCCCAGCAGGAGGCCTCTGCTCTGAGAAGGCGACCTTTAAGGAAGAATATGGGGCTTTGATGCCCCCCCTTTCCATCCGGCACTTTGTAGTCTGCCTTCTTCACTCATGACCAGTTTTAATAATCAGATTCACTCCCTGGTAAGAGGCTGGAGGCTGATGAAGGCTTATGAGTGCTGGGATAAATATTTGATGAGCAGTAGCCATTATTAGCAAGCACTCAGGGAGCGAGCAGTGTTTTCCAGAGGGAAGGAATGGCTTTAATAGCATCTTATTGTGCCCTTGGATTTCCAAGGGAATTCGAGAGGCCACATGCCAAGCCTGGAACCAAAGCCCTGTCCAGAGTCTTGGGGCACTGGCACGATCCCTCCAGTGGGTGGATCTGTGTGGGACACACAGTGGGACCGGTCATTGCTTCCTTAGAGTCCTTCACCAGCATCCACAGCATTCGTGCCCAATCCCAGGCTGCATTTCCGGATGACGCCTTCATCCCCATGGCCAGTGAGGCATTCCTTATTATTCTCTCATGCAACAAGGTAGGTGGGCACCACCCCAAGGCCCCCAGCTTGAGCAAATATCTGTCAGATACAGGATTTCTGCCAGCCTGATCGTCGTGTCTGGGACAGGCTGACACTCAGGAGGTTCCCCAGCGGCCTTTCTCAAATACTCCCCTGCAAAATCTGTGGGAGGCCATCAACTGTTCCCCCAAATTTCCCCAGGGAGGAGACAGGTCTGTAGAAATCGCGGGACTTTGCGATGTGGATCTGTGCCCCTCTGCTGCTTGCCAGGCCTCTGTGCTATGCCTGTGAGAACTCAGCCCCTGAGGGTCTCTGCCTGCCCCTGGCATCTGTCCCACTGCCTGGGAGCCCAGAGCATGTCCAACTCTCCGTGATTTCCTTTGATTTTCACAGGGAAATAAACAGTAAGGAGGAAAAGGAGAGGTAAAGTGATCCCCCGTGTGAGCGACCACTCTACAGCTCAGGACCCACACCAGCTCAGCCCCGGGGCCCCCATTCCCTCCTTGTCAGTGGAGTGTGAGAGTTGGTCATAGACCGGCCCAAGAGCTGCCTGGGTATTAGTATGGCACACTTTGGGGTGTGTCTGGGTGCATGGCGGGGCAGGACCTTGGGGACTTATCATAGCCCTGACCCTTTCTTCTCTGGCTCTTCCCCCATGCTCTGCTTTGCAGTCACCGTGAGGTGAGCAACTTTGTCAGCCACGCCCTTCCACCAGCTGACCAGGGACTGAGACTGTGAGCTGGGTCAAACCCCTCCGCCTTTCACTTGGGGGTGTCTGGTATTTTGTCCCAGCAGTGGGAGAGCTGCCTGGTCCAGGGATTCTGACAGTGCCTGCTTCAGAGCTTTGTGAGGACTGTGAGGCATGGAGGGCACTACATGGGCACAGACCTGGCACCCAAGGAGCCATTGGTAAGGGATTCACTCTGAGCTCTGAGATTTCTGGTTATTATTCAGGGAACAAATGAGGAACCCATGACCTGTCAGGACCAGAACAGACCCCGAGGGCATCCACACCTCCTTCTAACCTCATGTCCAAGGGATAAAATGGCCAACTGGGGACACGGTCAGGTAAAGGTTGTAGAGCCAGGCCAAGAACTTGGATCTCCAGAGGGCTGTCCTAGCTCCACATCACAGCAGACATCCTGAACATGTCCCTGTGTGGATGGCCACCTAGAGCAGCACCACTGCAAAGGGGGCAGGAATGGTCCACAAGGCAGTGGCCCCACTCAGAGAGATGGCCAGGCTGTGCTGGGAGTCCTAAAGTGTGACTGAGTTGTGACCCGGTGTCATGCAGAAAAAAGAGCCCAGCACCCCATTGCCTGGCCCCTCAGGGTGCAGCGGCCTGTGAGGGTTTTCCTCGGCTCGAGGAACGTCTACAAGCCCACATCCTGAGCTGGAGATCCTGCACACACCCCCATCTCTCTGACAGGCCATTCCCGGGTCACGAGAGATAGTCAGGATTTCTGGTGACATCTGTGACAAGTAGAAGAGTGGTTCTCAAACACTCATGCACATCTCTGCCCTTTGACGGTGGCCTCTGTGCTTCCCGAGGATTCCACACTCGGGGACCAAAGGAGTGGAAAGAATGGAAGGGACAGAGCCGCAGCAGGCTCCTGCTCTGCGGTGAACAGAGGTTGTGTGTGGCTCTGTGAGGGGCATCACTGTGCCCCTTAGCTGTTACGAATCACTGCGTCCCAAGTGAACCCAGGGAAAGGAAATCCAGGATAATCTGAGTAACAGCTTCAGTCACTTTTTCTGCACTTTCACAGCCAGACAGGACTGTCCCCTCCTTCTGCCCTCTGTCCTCCCTCCCCTTTCCGTGCTGCCTGCTCAGCCTGGCTGCTCTAATTCCCACCTAGGCAGTGGAGTTAGACCTGATCGCTGGCTCACCTCGCCCAGCAGATGACTATCCCTGGCTGGGGCGGCAAGCCAGACTCCTGTCAGCAAGCATTAATCACCCCAGGACCCAGCGGGCACAGGCCATGGGGCCTCTTAGTAGCACAGGAGGAGGAGAAGCTCAGGAGTTGGCCACAGAGAGCCCAGGGGAAGAGGAGCAGTGCAGCTCTTGCCAGGCCCACTGTGCTCTGGGCTTCTAGCCTGGCCGCACTCTGGTGGCCTTGTGGCCTCACCTGTGCTGGGCTCTCCACGAAACTCAGACCCTGGCTGGGCCAGGGGCGGTGGACATCTGAGTTCTGCCTTATGTGGGACTGGGTCTTAGCAGGATCACATGAACATGTTTTCAGGACAGGGGTGGACTGTCTCCAAGTTGCGAAGCTCATAGACTTTGAAGCCGGGCAGACACAGGTTCAGTTGTGCAGGGCACCTCCACATCGGTAGGACGCGGGGCCGGGCGGTCATAAGTGTGGATGACATCGCATGTGCCGAAGCTTCTAGCACTGGGCCTGACGAGGGGGAAGTGAAGAGGAGAAAAGAAATCTAGGTGTAGCTTCCCAAAGGACCATGCTCTCCATGGAGGGGACTGTGGGCCAGGAAGCTTCTAGAAAACTGTGGCACTTGCAGGTACCCCAGAAAATCTGACCTGGAAGGGCTGAGAGGCCGTTTTGTCCTGCAGCCCTATTTTAGCAATGAACCACTGAGGCACAGTGAAGGGAAACTGCCTGCTAATGTTGGGATGATTCCATCCAAACACCCCAGCCTAATTTAAACAATGATCTCGCAGAAGATGCCTAGAGGAACCAGGGCTAGCTCTGGGGTTCTACACTGTCACTGTGATCCCAGGCCATTCCCCTTTTTCTGTTCTGTCACCTGTATGTTGGCCATATCTTCTTCCTCTCTTGGTTGCAAAAGGGCTGAAGGAGCATCAAGCTGTATGTCCTCAGACCACAACCTCCAAAAGCTGGAAAGAAAAAAGCAGCAAAGTCATAGTTTCTCTTCACAAATTTATCCTGGGGAAACCATTTCTCATCCTTCCCTTTCAGTCCCTTTGGCGGTGACCTAGGGACCAATGAGCCGAAGACACCAGTATTCATGACATGATGCTGATGATTCCTGTAGCATGTTTACTCACTGCCAGGGCTTTCCTTCAAGTGTTTTAAGCTCTTTACAAACATTAATTTATTTATGGCAGAGGAGGGGCTGGTTCACATGCACACACACACAAACCCACAGAGCCTTACTCTGCTGGGACCAGGAACCAAAATGCTAAGCCCTTTGCCACTTTTCCAAGCTAAATGTCAAGAAAGCAATTACACAAGAACCGAAGGCTCGGAGGCCTGGGCCAGACAGTCCGGGGGGTGGGGGTGGGGAGGCTGTGGTGGCTCTGGATGGCAGGGCCCGGGTGTTAGGAAGAGAGGTGAGAGAAGGCGCCCCCACTGCTCCCATACCAGGCTACCTGAGGTCCGAGCTGTGCCCGCAGACCCAGGACCAGATCTGAGTCCGGCCCCACTGTGTCCCAGGCCGGATTTGTTCACCGGCTTCCCAATCTGACAACCAAGGAGTTCCACAGGATTTTTCTCCCCAAGGACCCTGAGTTTGAGAGCATTTTCATCTTCCAGACAGCTGCATCTGTCACAGAATAACTTCTCCACTTCCCCATTCTAAAAAATATTCACAGATATGCATAACTGCCAGCTGGAGTCCCTGAGCAGTAGAGAGCCCTCTTTACCACCCTGGGACAGGGGATTTAATTTTTGCCCAAAGCAAGAAACCTGACACTGAGTAGCCTGGGCAGCTAGCCCATGAGAAGGTGGAGGTCTTTGTTATTCCTTGTGAAATGGTCAGAACAGCTCTCAGGCCCTGTCACCCATCCACAGAGTTCCCCACCTCCAGGGACCCCTTTGGGAACCACCACAATGCATCAAGCAGGACCTGGATGTGGTGGGAATCTGTGTTGTAGTCTCGCCAATGGACTGCTAAAGGTTCACAGCTGGGGTCAAGCCATTTGCAGCCAGAAGCCTTGGAAACTATTTGATTGCCAGTGCCTTGGTTTCCCCAGCAGTAACAGAGGACTGAAAAATTAGGGTACTTCACTGCAGAGGGCAGAAACAAACTCTGTTCATAT